CAGTTTGCTATGTGATCATGAAACTGATCGGAAATAACTAATCAAAATTTGTGGCTTTTATTTATTATCCTCATAGGTTTTCTCTAACTGATAACGCTGGCAAATGTGTAGTTTGAAGAAACTTTTAATAACTCCTTTAACATGTTAAGAAGGAAACCTTTGATGATGGAGAAGACTGGTTTCATGAAACAGGCAAGATCGATGACTGTAAAAAAGATGGACGACGTGGCACCCCCACCCCAAATGTCAACTATTTGTGACAGCCTTTTTCTGTCTTACAACAGTGTCGGCATGAGAATAATTAGTACTAAGAACAGAAATAAAAATAATCTAATCAGTTTTTTGTGGTTGATTCATTCATCTAATTAGTTTTGGATTAATGTTTGGGTAACGCTAATAGAAGTCTATCAATGTCAAAAAGTTTGCCAGTGTGATTTCACGTTTATGTTTGATTAAAATCAAGTAGGGCATGAGATGTTTATGTTAAAACTGCTGCAGTGTTGTCAAATTGTAGGACATGAATGTGCTTATGAATACTAGGGTGACTTTGCTCATTTTTATTAAGAAATAATATTTTTTCCACTGTGCTATCTTGTACCGGTTTCTCTTTTTTGGTAATGACTTTTCTTCATTTGGACAAAACCATTTCAAATGATGCTGAGGAATTGTGCTCTTGTAACAAAACAACTGTGTAGGATTGGATATATGCACCTCTACATACCCAGGTGTTGCTGTAACCCATTTACTTGGCACACAACAAATACTTTACCTTGGAATAAAGATAAAAGAAGAGAAAAAAAACTTGTGAATATTATACAAGTAACACATTTAATTATTTACAGGAATATAATGTGTAATACTTCATTGCAAGAGATCAGCTCAAAGAATTAATTACTTCTTTATCTTCTTTCTGTGGCAGCAATGGAAGGCTTATCAGGCTATAGATGACAAACCAGGCTGCAGAAGCAGCAACGCCTCTGTATGAGCGGACTGTAACACCATGACATCAACAACACTGGACATAAAACCTGCTTTCATTCTATCCTGTACTGTCATCAATAGAAAAGTTAGGAAAATATAACATTTGAAGACAATGTCAGAAAATAACATGAAAATGTGCTATTATTACTACTGTTTATATGGCCATCATTAGGGGTGCTCTGATGAAAAAGGGCCTAAACTTGCCTATGCTAACAACCACGTTGTTATAATTACAAAAACACATCGCAACATCTAATTGTTCTACAACATTTAACATCACTCTTTAGCTCCTGTTAATTCATTTGCTAGACCAGCCGTTAGCATACGCACTGTGTTAGAGGCATGTTGCTATCTAGTTAGCAGTGCTACACACCTGTTACTACTGCACACTCCACAGAGGCCCAGAGTTACTGTTCATTCCATAATTATCTGGAAATTAACTGTTGCCCTGAGATTTTACACAAGACCAAAGATAATATAAAAATGACGTTTTAAACAGTTTTAGATCAAATCACAGAGCACTCTCATACCTGGTAACATGGAAACTTTAAATAAAATGTTAGATTTAAAAGCACAGCAGCAGAAGGCGGTGTCATTTTTCTATTTATTTATTAGAATCATCAACAGATACATTCACCCTGGGGGAAAACCAGTGACCAGCAGGAGCACAGCTGTCCTTTGCCAGATGTTCTGTTTAACTACTGAGAAAGACGTCATTTCAGAAACATCAGGAAGACTGAAACTCATCGCAGGGATCAAGCAGGACTCAAACTGTTTACCAGCAGCGCCCTCAGAGGGAAATCTTCAGACCTCCACCTTAAGCCCATCCCAGAAAATGTGCAACCCCAGCACTTCATGAACGGTGTGACAGCGACATTTGGTTTGTGTGCTGTTAGAAGTACTGCACATCATCCTCATATAAAGAGGCTCTGGACTCACATGATCAGGTTATATTCAGTCCTGTAGCTAGTTATTAAAATATATATTATCCTCTGATTATTCTGGTATGACTGACTCAATTACAAATAACACACGCAGTGTGAAAGAACTGTAGATTAACCTTTTAGTTTAACATACAAGTGACGACCTTTGACCTTCATCAGGTTGTATTCAATGCTGTCAGAGAAAATCTCATGTCTTCTTCATGCAGCTGACTGCATTCAGTCTATTAAACAGAAGCTGTGCAGATCAGCAGCTTTCTGAAACACCAAACTGAGGTACTGTTTATGCTGATACATAGCAGGGGTGATTAATCCCTTTGACTTTTTGTCTTTAACTTTATCAATAAAACAGCTGCAGCTTTCACTGAAAGCACACAATATGGTGCTTTAGCCTTTGCACTTTTTTCATCAGTTAATGTTGGAGTTACTGCAAAGCGTGGATCATAGGATGATCTGTCTGCTGTCACTGGGTGGTGCTGAGGTCTAATCTGAGGGCAGCCCCTGTAATCACAAAGAGAACAGAATCAACACAAACCGTAACATGTTCATCCCTCAAATCTGAAATAAATCTGATCCTTTCCTGTCCTCACACACTTCAGGATCTGCAGTTCTACACTTACATTTTTTCAGTTCTACAGTTCTGCTGACATTAGCTTTTTATTTACGAAAGTTTACAGTTTAATGTTTACCTTTGAGTTGTTAGTGGTTTTTAAATTGTGATTTCCAAACATATGATGATGGAGCAGCTTTCCAGTCCTGGTGCATCGTGGTCAGCTGCAGGGAAACAGACAAACATATCATCACCAGTGTTGTAACCGTGAGAACATTTTCAGTCCTCTGCAATTCACCTACAGTTACAATTGTGCTAATGACGAGTTATTGAACTGCAAGGTTTTTGTAAATTTCGTGTTACTATCCTTACAGATGTGGCTAGAGAGAGAAAACATGCTGCTGTTTGCACATATTTAATAATCAGCTCTACACAGAGCTGAAGGACAGGCCAGCCTGTTGCTTTTCCAATCTTAACACACGTTAGTTAGTGACTGAACGGGCCGGTGACTTTTCTCTGTTTCTCATGTAACTGGTTTCAGCGCCTCACCTTCAGCTGCAGGTCTGAACATCCTTTAGTTCAGTACAGTCAGAGCAGCTGAGCAAATGTCTGAACTACAGCACTGAATTTAATGAACATTCAAGCTCAAAGTGTCGGCTCTCAGTTCATTCATGTGCACAGATTAACTGATGAACGCCGCTTTCCCTGACAGCCGACTTCTCATCGTAGCTAGCTAGCCAAGGACATAGTTGCTAAATAGCTGACAAGCACACATTTAACTTACCGAAAAAGTACGCCAGGGCCTCGGGTCCTTCTGTCGGTTAATCCAGTTTACTGCAGAACACCTCACGCTGTCAGTTTGAAACAGTCCATTGTGGTTTTGTAAAGTAAACGCTGGACCTCCTCTCTGGGTCCTGATCCATTCCCAAACAGAGATGTGCAAGTTTCTCCGTGACTGCAGCTGCCAGTCAAAGCTGTTATGATGACCCCAATTCAACAGCATTATGGTAGTAGTCAAACTCATGAGACTTATGTTCACCTTTAATTCCAGTTGTGACATTTAAATTTTTCTAATATACATTTAATCTGGGGCAGCATATTGTGTGGTGGTTAGCACTGTTGCCTCACACCAAGAAGTTTGTGGGTTCAAATCTACCATGTGTCCGAGGCCTTTCCGTGTGGGGCTCTCCCCCGTGTTTTCTCCCTGGGTCCTCCTCTCACAGTCCAAAGACATGCACTAAGACTTAGATTAGCTGGTCATTTTAAATAGGTGCAAATGTCAGTGCAAGTGGTTGTCTGTCTCTCTGTGTCGGCCCTGCAGCAGACTGTCCAGAGCGTACCCTGTCTCTTGCCCTATGGCAGCTAGGATAAACTCCAGCACCCCCACGGCCCTGAATAGATAAGCAGAAGAGGACGGACGGACGGACGGATGAATACGTTTATTTTGTTCAGAACATGTATTATTCCATATAGCAATAAGAAATCTTTTCTGCAGAGAAAGTACTTTTAGATGTAATACTTTAAGTTAAATTTTCCAATAATAAACAGTTTAGTGTGTTGAAGCAGTTTTACTTTCTGTTTTTTTTCCAATGTATTTTTTGTGGCTTTTACTCTTTATTGTGTTCGGACAGTGGAGAGAAGACAGGAAAGCTGGGGATAGAGAACAAATAGAAGCAATAGCAGATTGGAGCCTGGACCTCTGCTTTAGTCTTACAGCATATGGAAAACCTGCTCAGCCCAGTGAGTTATATTAAAATCCTTCAGTCAGGAAGTTGAACATAGTGACATTTTGAGTAATGTACAAGAGAAGACAACAATTTTTGTAATTTTAATATATACTGCAACAAACATATAAGGCTTTCTTCTGAAATGTATAAAGATGGCAGTCTTCATTTTAATTATATCTGGACTGCTTGCTGTGGCGGTCTCTACTAAAACTTACTTAGGTATTGTCACTTGTTTCTCAGACAATCTTTTAAGATCAGATGATAGCAGGAGAGGTCGTGAAGTGGAGAACTGTTTAAATGCCACATTTGTTGCAGCTTATCCACCTCTGCCACAGCTGTTCTATTCAATTTAATTACTATAATTATAGTGTGTTTGCAGTCTGCATTTCCCAAATTAATTATACTGGGTAAATTATTATTACTATTTTTTTTTGAGGTAATGACATGAGAAACAACGTCTGATTAAAAATCAGCTATTATTTTCTCTTAACCCTCAAGCTTACCTGCATAGATGAGTTTCTGTCCCACTGAAGGAAATGCATCTTTACCTCTGTGCTCTTCTATTTTCTCCTTCAGGGCTTTCACCTGTCAAACATATCAAGAAATATTAGGTGGAATGAGCTCTTCTTACTCTCCTTTGTCTGCGAACTGACAGATCCATTTATCTCACTGTCTCACGTCAAAGTGATTATTTGTGATTATCGATATAACTGAAAATGTAACTATTTAAAATGAGAGCACAGTTAAGAGTTTGATTGTTGCTTTTATAATTCCAGTTATGCCATTTTGCCACAACGCTGCCTAATATGTTTTCACAGTTTAACTGCATACATCTGTCACAAAAAACAAGGCTGTTCATTGTTTTTACGTGACATATTAAAATCAGAGTTTTTAAAGAAAATATTTTCCTAAATTGAAAAATAAATAATGGACTGGTTCTTATATAGCGCTTTTCTACTCTTCTGAGCAGTCAAAGCGCTTTATACAACTGTAATAAATAATCACAAGTACAGTGATGTTAAATACAATTACTTTGACTTTTTGGGAGATTTTCTTACTTTAACCGGAGACACAAAGTGTTGCTGTATTATATCTCCTGGTTCTCATGAGGATTTCTAATTAGAATATTGTTATAAGTTGATGTGGATTCATTTATGCCTTTTATTAGTCTGTGAATTCTTTTTAACAGCTGCAACTCTTTGCTTTTTAAACTATGATCCCCTGGGTCGTCCTGTACTGGCCTGCTGTCTCTCTCTGTCTGTATGTGTGTTTTGTCTTCCGATGGCTTGTTCCAGGAAGCATCTCCCACCCTGCGCCCCTCGACCCTCCTGATGAGCCACACCTGGCAGCTGTTGGCTAATTAACCCTCCAGGTCCAGGGTTTAATTGGCCGTTTTTCACTACTTTTGATTTTGTCTTTGTATTTCACCTTTAAAACTTGCCTTGTTTGATATCATTCTCTTCAGCACAACCTCACATGTCTGAATTTAGAGTTATTGTTTTATATTAAGACACCGTGTTAACACAATTGATCTAAAATTACACAAAAATCATAAAATCCAAGTTGGAAAAAGTTATATTTTTTACTGTAAAAACCACAAACATGTTTATTGTTTAAATGCAAATATACATTGTAAATTTAAACAGCTAATGCCTCGGGGGGGTTTTCTTTGTACAACCATTTAAAACTACTACTAAAATTAAAATTACAAAACAATTAGGTGTCACAATAAGATGCCACACAAATTCTTTGTGCCACTCCAAAAATAGTTTCTGTTCACCACAAGACAGCGAACAAATCACAGGGATAACCTGCAGGCCTGACATCACTACTGTTTTTACCGTTTCTTCCCGCACTAGATGTGATGATAGTATTCAGAAAAAAATATGAAGTATTTTTCTTATCATAACTCTGGTTTTATGTAGCCTATCAACACAATGTTAAAACTGGTACAGAGTTTGAAGTCCACACTTTCAACACAAGTATCAGCATCAGAATACGTTATTTTCCCTAATAACGTTTAGTGGTTAAGCAGACACCACCACCCTGGCAGCTGAAGAGCCCCCCCCCCCGAGTTCCACTGATGCACCAGAGGCCCCCGCACCAGGGCTGGGCCACCGTGCATGCAATCACCACCACCCTGGCAACACACAAACCAGGACCCAAGCCCCCCAGGACCAGCCAAAACCCCAGCCCGGTGGCGGAGAACCCCCAAAACCCTCCAGTTCATGAGGAGAGTCTTCTTGGCGATGCATAGGGCGGTGAGAGCCATGTGAACTGTATTCATCTCTGTAGTGCCATCATGTAAGTCGCCCAATAAGCAAACTGAAGGGGAGGCTGGAATGCTACATTTCAGACACTTTGACAAGTCTTCACATATCGCACGGCAAAACCTCTGAACAGGTGGACAGAACCAAAGAGCGTGGATGTAATTGTCAGGTGTATGACCAGTTGTTACATGATGTAAAACCCATCATGAACATCTGTTGACCTGTATAGTGCAGTCTGTGTAGTATTTTGCATTGTTTTAATTGTAGACTGGGATTTCTAATCAATTTAAAGGTTTTTAAACATATCTGAGACCAGACGTTTTGGTCTAAGAAGATTTTAATCAGCTTATCGAATAATCTGAAACTCTTGAGATTGTTTTTTAATATAATTACCTCAAAAAGAGAGTGGTTTGTGAGTGTTGGAGGAAAAGTAACACATCATCTGCATAAAGACTGATTTTATGTTCTACGTTCTTGCATTTTATGCTCTTGATTTTCCTGTTCCTGATTATTTCTTCTAATTCCTGAATACGTTTGTTTTCTCTTTTCTTTTTATGTGATGAGAATTTAATTATTTTACCTCTCATCACAGCTTTTCCTGCTTCCCAGAAAACAGATGCTGATGGTCCAGGCAGGTCATTACAGTCTAAATATAAAGCTCACTGTTTTTTAAATATTTAATAAAATCTTCATCTTTAAGCAATGATGTATTTAATCTCCAGTTTTTACTTGGTGGAATGATTTTCTTACTTATTAGAATCAAAGATACAGGAGCATCTCAGTATCTCAGTGCATCTCAGTGTCTGAAATGTCACTTTACAGTGAGCTGCTGACTAGGAAATAATAGAAACGAGAGTAGGAGTGATGGATATGTGAGAATAAAGTATACTTCTTACGGTTAGGGTGGAAGGAACGCCATGCATGGCAAAGTCTGAAATTGATCATGTACTGTTTAACTATATTTGTGGACAGCCAATTGCGCTGAGTTCCTGCTGAATTCAGCTGTCCATTTCTTCATTTAGTCCAAAGTTGAGGTCGCCCCCAAGAACAAGTAAGCAATCTAGGGAGAGTGCAGTAAAAAAAACGTGGAAGAATGAGCAGCCGTATACACTTACAATACAGAACTTTTTGTTAAGTATGGATAATTTAATAATTAGAATTCTTCCCTCTGGATCTATAACTGTGAGTACTGTGAAATTAATATTTTATGTGTTAAAATCACTACATTCCTCTGCCTGGAGCTATAGCAGGCTGAGAACACATTAGGAAACAAAGGTGTTTTAAGTTCATGCGGCAGGTCTCTGAGTCGCTTGTAATAAAACAACATATGCCTGTAGTTTGTTTTAAGCTGGTTCAATATCTTTACCGTCTTTTCTCTGGAGCCAGCTCAATGCACAGTCCATGTGACAAACCTCATGGCAATCAAGCGCACCAGTATAACAAAAGGTCCACTTGGGAAAATAAATGTGTTGGGTGAAATTTCCATTTTAAAAAGATAATAGTAATGAATTGAGCAATTTTACATTTTTTAAATGACTTGACAGTTACATAAAAAGCTATAAGCTCATTATATAGCTCATGGTACACTTTTACATCAGTATATATTTGCATAACCAACTGATAAGAAGACATGTAAAGAAGAACTAAACACCAAACACTGTGTGATGCCAATGATTGTTACAGTCCCTGCCATTAACATGACATAATACTTAAAACGTTATTAAAAACGTTATTGGCTTAATAAACATAATTTAATTTGATGAACTATTATTTGATGGGGAAACTTTTTTTTTAATTTAACAGATTTAACGATCAGCCATCCCAGTGTTACATTTGCGGACAGGCTTAAAATACTGCACCGTCATTCATGGTGATATACTGAAACAAGTCCGAGTGAAACAGTGTCAAGTGAAATAACAAAACACACATATTTCCGGTCTGTTATTTCAACGTACACACATGCTGCTTATTCACTGCATAACATCACAACGAAACCCAGTGAATACGCAAACACCATCCATGAGTAAACTGCAGATCTGCCATTCATGTAGCTTCTTCCGCATGGTTGTGGTGGGGATGGAGCCGACTTTTCGATAGTGTTTTATTATTTTATTTTGAAGGAAAATGTGCTCTATTCCTGTCTTTCCTGCGCTATAGTACCTTATGTGAACTCTGCGATACTGCAGAACTGATAACTTGTCTGGAAGCATTTTTGTCACATCGACGTAATGTTATTTATTTTGGGGGGTTTGTAATAAAAAAACAAACAAAACTGATTTATCTCAATTTAAACACCCTTTACTATGGCTATTTCCCCACACCGGGTAAAATTCCCGCATGCCTCAGCCAGCCCCCCGAGCCCGACCATGTTTACTTCGGCCCCGTTAACTTCTACTCACCGTCAGTTCTGGGTCTATTTCGATTCTGAACGTCTGCTGTTGGAGTGTCTTCAGTGTTATAGTTAGCATCTTTCCGGTGGTTCTCGGACAACAGTGGACTCGGAAGAATTTCTCAACAGCAGCAGCTCTTTTTTTGTCAGTATTTTTCCGGCTCTGTGTATATGTGTGACTCAGCTGTCTTAGTGCCGCTGAGCATGCTGGCCACCCACGCCATCTACTGCTGGAGTCACAGTATGACATGCTGTTGACTTCACATCCTGTCGGAAATACCCAACTCTAAGCACAAAAATATTTACAATGATTATAATTCAATTAAATTCAGTTTAAATCACAACACAACTACCTCAAGGAGATTAGAATTTTTAATTAGCGCCTTCAAATTTAACTCACATATAGTCCCTTTAGTATAGATTGTCAGGGATTAGAGCTATCAATGCAACTATTTGGTTTTTGTCTATTCAAAGCTCGCCTGTCAAACTCAGTCAGCTGATCACGCTGAATGAAGCATTTAAAATGTTCAAATGTAATCAGTGACATCAACTGAAGCAAGCTGCAGCCCAGTGCGTCACAATAAATGAGCTATACAAATATGCAAAACAAAAAATAATAATTTTTTTTTTTTAAAGGATGCATGGTGAATGGCAAATTAGACTTTGTTTGGTCAATGATTTATAAAAGTACTGGGAGTGGGTGACTTAATTTGTTTTCCAGCTTCTGAAATGAGCATGCCACATAAATAACACACAAATACTTCACATGTCTCTTGCTGTATACACAGATTAAAATCACTCAGTGTGAAAGAAACCGCCAAAGTTAGGCAGGCAACAGAGATCAACGACTGAAAGTAATGAAAAACAGCAAAGTTGAGAAGCTTCAATTTATTAACTCAAAACTGTGTTCACAAAGTAAAGATACTCAATCAAAACATTGGGAATGCGCACACACGCGCACACACACACACACACACACACACACATCACACAGATGACTTAGAACAAACTCAAAAACGTTGTGAGCTGTCATGTCCACAAACAAATATAATATTTGAATAATTTACGAAAGGATCACCTCAGAAAACAAACAGTGCATCATGGTATGATAGAGATCAAAGTGCACAACCAGACATCACAGACGCTCAAGTTATGGGATTTCCAAAGGGGAAAAAAAGAAAAGAAAAAAATCACATTAAATCAGAAAATCCACGTATATACCAAACACAAGCATAAACAAACCCTTCTCCTATTTGATGGTTTGGAGAGAAAAATGCATGGGAATCAAGAAAAAAAAATCCCATCCCTCAAACATCCCACCGGAATAAAAGGCTGCTATATGAAAAGCTACAGTCCAGATGGCATCAGCCCATTTTCTGTGTCTGTCATTTGAACCTGAGGAACACACACACACACACACACCTCACACCGTTACAACTCGTCCTTTGGTTTGCCATTATTGTCCTCTTCTATCCCAGCATCATCATCTGACTTCTCATCATCCTCTTTGTCATCCTCATCATCACCTTCAGCGTCCTCCTTGTTCTTCTCCTTCTCCTCTTCCTCCCTCAGTTTCCTTTCCATATCTTCCTGCTCATCCTTCATTTTCTTCTCTGGTCCCTAGGCAGGTGAAGAACAGTGTTAATGTTTAACATAATGGAAAGTGAATCCACAATAGGGGAGTACTGAACTGTCACCTGCAGTGTGAACCAATGCTGAACCTAAAAGCTACATTCTTTGTCTTCCTTAAAATCCTTTTGTTTTATCACCTGCCAAACTTTTAGTTCGGGTCCTTTTTATGTTAAGTACACCAAGTTTGACTGAGAACCATGAGTTCTCAATAAAAAAAACAAGCACAAAAAATGTAAACAAACAAGGTGCACAAAACAAACATCAAAATAACAAGCTAGACCAAAACTCTTTGTTCCATAATAAATTATGGAACTAAAACTATTTCTTCCCCAAATGAGAACCAGTAATCATTTGGACCTAGAAAACAATCATCATGATCATGAATAATGTGCCAACCATTAAAAGTTAGATGGTATAATACTGACAAACTTATTAGGTGAAGAAACTCACCCTGTACTGCCAATATGGAATTTCAAAAGTTGCTCAAAGAATCAATTTGCAATAAGCTGCTCAAGAGTTGAAGTGGCCTTATAGTTAATGTTGCTTAAGCTACAAGAAGTACCATCTTCCCTGTTTAAATACCTAGAGAACTGCTCACATGTGATAGTTTTATTGCTTTCTAGTGTTTACATGCCCTAAACCACTTATCCGGATCAGCTGTGAGCTGTGGAAACATGACAGACTACATGAAAGCTGTTGAGAAGTTATCTTCTTTCTTTGGAAAAGGTCTGATCAACTCTGTAAAGCTACATATGCATGGTCTATTTATTGTGTTGCCCTTAATTCTGACTAGAACTGATTTCAGGCTGTATTCCGACAGAGGGTTTTAAATTGAAACCCCCTATTAGACCATTTACATCTAAACAGTCCTACCTTGGTTTTTCCCCATGTTTCCTTTCCAAATTCCTCTGCCTCTTTCACATCGTCGGTAATCAGAAAGTTGTCAAAAATGGTTCCAGATTTGACCTTTCAATGAAAAAACAAACAAAACAAACAAACAAAATAAACAATGCAATATTATTTTGTCGTGAAATACAGATACATTATAAATTTATTTGTCTTGAAATAAATAAACCGCAATGTAGTTTCATTTTTACATGAAAGAAACTGTTTTGTAACATTTTATTTATAACAGACCCTAATGGGGGAGTAGTGTAGCATAATTACCTGCCACAGATCCAGGCCCAGGACTCCAATGTTGTTAAATTTATACATAGTAGCATCCTGAGTGTACTCTGGGTTGTCTATCTCAGGGTGGACCCATGTTCCCTTGTAGTCAGGGTTGTCAATTTGTTTGGGTTTCCATTCCCCCTACAAAGGTATTAGAGAATAAGTTACATTTTCTTCCCTTTATACTAGTAAAAAGACCTCCAATAGAAATTCTTCACTTTTTCGGTAAACCTCAAGCAATGCAGCCCATACTTTATACTCTGGATTGGCGATCATGGGGGGCTCCCACTCTCCATCCATGTCCTCGTCCCAGTCATCAGGCTTCTTGGCATCAGGGTCAGGGATCGTCTCTGGCTTGTCCCAGTCCTGGAAGACAGCAGCACTGAAGTTACCAATCAGAGATGCCAATCAAAACAGGACTTGTCCAAGAGTACAAATAGCTCCATCCTGGCTGTTCCAAGAAAAACAAGGAATGGCAACATTAATGTAAGACTGGATCAACATTATCAACCCACAATTGGCACTATTCAGTGTATTCTGGCTGCAGTGGATGGCCTAATGAAATTATGCATTACAACAAAATTGAACAATAAGAAAATGCTCAACGTCATTAACACCATGTTCAAGATTTTATTGTAAATTTGGGACTTTAATCTCAGAACATCTGTATAGCTTTATTGCAAGTAATCTAAAATCATTTTAAGTCATGTTACTTCAGGCTTTGTGTCACTGGGATCGTCAATCTTAGCCCTGTCATCCCAGTCGCTTGGCTTCTTAGCTTCGGGGTCCTTGATCTTCTTTAAGGGCAGCATGTCCCAGTCGTCCTCAAAGGAGCCAGACTCTACCTTCTCATTGTCGATCTTCACCTCATATGTCTGGTCTGGATTCACAATCAGTGTGTACAAGTGGGTCAGCTCATCATCCTGAAGGATGACATGGAGAGAATTTATGGGAAATCTCTAACAGATTCATGGTTTACAAAATTTAAAAAGGGAAATTATTTAACAGTCTTGGTGCATAGCTACCTTGCATTTGATGTCTTTCTTGATAAGATGGTTCTGACCCTTGTAGTTAATTATCACATGAACCTTTTTTGTGCTGTATCCACAAATGTCAGGCCCTGTGTACACAAGCCACATTATGATATGATTATATACCATGATTACAAAAGAAGGACGTCATTTCGAACAGCTCAAAGTCAGATGGAAAAACATCATGTTCTGGTTTCAGGCTTCAGTGTCTCTCCAAGACTCACCAAACATGATGTAATACTGGGAGTCTCCATGCATGTCACTCTGGTCAAGCTCATCGGGGAAGAGCTTGACGTAACCACCTCCACAGTCTATCTTCTGCTCATGCTTGACAGTGAACTGGATGACCAGGGGCTTTCCCTCATTGCTAAATGGCTCAAAGTGGGCTGACAGGGCATAAAAGTGGGCATCCTGGCTGGTCCGGATACCTAGAATGAGCACAAAAGTGATTATTATTATTATTATTATTACTACCAATATAGACTGAATAAAAATGCACAACTCTTTCTAATTTCAGTAAAGGCATGTAAAGAAGTATATTCTTAAAATATCCATATGAACACTGAGCAGCCTGAAATGCCTTAAGAACAATAAAAGTAATATGTCTGTTTCTATAATCGTATGCACTAATGCTGGTATTCTGAAACTACATCTTGAATAGTAGGAACTGCACTGGAATGAAAACCATTGAATAATTAGGGATTTTTCACATGTTGAAGACCCATCCAGTCAAACAAACAGACCCCTGGCAAGCTGATTCTCACCCACGGGCCACATTTTTGACACCCTAAATTTCTTAATTCTATTCTTCTTTTGCACTAACAGAATTTTGTGGTTCAATGTTTCACTTCAACAATGTCAGAGATTCTAAAATCTGAAATAAAACTGTCTTTATTTTGTATCAGAAGAGGATTAGGTCACTAAAAAAAAAAAGTGGGCACATTTTTTCTTCTTTTCCAGAATTCTGAGAAAATTCTGACTTTAATCTCAGAATTCTGAGAAAAATAATTCTGATGAAAAAGTCAGAATTTCTCAGAATTCTAAATTTAATCTCAGAATTCAGACTTTTTTTTCTCAGAATAAAAGGAGAGGAAAAAAAGACTTGCCCAATTTTTTTCCCAGTGGCCCTAATCCTCTTCTGTACAATCATGGTTTCCAATAGTACCCAAAAAGTTGATGATGGGGCTGCGCTATATAAATATGCACTGTCCCATACTTTTAGTCAGATTTGCAGCCTGCTCAGGACTTCTGGTTTCAAAGAGCCAAGACAGTGACAGGGAAAATTCTCTGGACAAAAAAAGAGTACTTTTGCATTGGGTCAGAGCACTGTGTTTCCATCCATGCACTCTATGACTATCAGTCATATTTATAATTCTTCC